ATTCTACATCTCCAAATTTTGTATGCATTTGTAGACAACTTTTTTAAAAGCTTATAAGAATTTTGACGTTTTTTCGAAAATCTTCAGAAATCACTTAAAGAATTTTTTTTAGATTTCGAGTTCCAAAAATTACTTTCGGCCTTCTTTTTCTCCGAAAACTCTTACTATCTCTCCAGAATTTCCAAACGAAGTTAGAAATTTTTCGAATTTAAAGAAAAATGTGATTTCAAAAGAAATATTTTTAAAATCTTACTCTGTAACCATGAGCCAGCTATATTTTTCGAATCAGCGCTTTTTTATGAATTATGAATGTTTAAACAACTTACCGAAAGTTTTTTTTGTAGTTTTCGACTTCCAGAAATTACTTTCGACCAGATTTCAACGAAATCCGCAAACGAAATATTGAAAATTTTCAAATATTTCGAAAAATTTACTTCCAAACTGAATATTTTCAAAATCTTGATCCACTTCAAGATCTACATCCCATAATTTTTTATGCATTTTTAAACCAGTTTTCAAAAGCGCTGTTATTCAATAAATTTTGAAAATTCCGCGCTTTTTTCGACTACCTTCAAAAATTACCTAAAGAAATTTTGTTGTAGATTTCGACCAACAAAATTTCGAAATTTTTCTTTTATTTTTGAAAAGTGGACTTTTAAACGGAATATTTATAAAATCTTGCTCCGGGAACTATAAATACGTCATATTTCTGAAAGCTGTACGTCGACATCTACTTTCAAGACTTATTTGATTTTTTTCATTTTTTAAAAAGAGCAGTTATTACTGCCCCTTATGAAAATTTTGACCTTTTTCGAAAAATTTACTTCCAAACGGAATATTTCTAAATCTTGCTTGAGGGCCCTAAACACACCTACATTTTTCGAATCAACACATCATTCTACATCTCCAAATTTTTTATGCATTTTTACACAACTTTTCAAAAGCTCATTTCAAAAGCTTATAAAAATATCGACGTTTTTTTTCTACAATCCTCAAAAATCACTTAAAATAACTTTTTTTCCAGATTTCGAGTTTCAAAAATTACTTTCGATCTTTCCAGATTCCCAAAAGAAGTTACAAAATTTTTCGCATTTTTTGAAAAAATCTACTTTCAAACGGAATTCTTCTAAAGTCTTGCCCCGTAACTATAAACACACTATATATATTTTTTTGAATTAGTAAGTATATACGTCTAGAACCACATCCCGGAATTTTTTGTGAATTTTTAGACAACTTTTTCAAAAACTCTTTATAAAAATTTCGACCTATTTTCGACCATCTTCGACAATTATTTAAAGAAATTTTTGTTGATTTCGCTTCCAGAAATTACTTTTAGCCTCATTTCTTTGAAAACTACAATTTTTTCAGAATCTCGAAACGAAATTTCGGAATTTTTCGAATTAAAAAAAAATGTGATTTCAAAAGGAATATTTTTAAAATCTTGCTCTGTCATCATAAGCCAGATATATTTTTCAGATCAACACTTTTTTATGAGTTTTTAAACAATTTTTTCAAACAATCCATTTTTCTGTAAATGTCCCCGTTATGAAAATTTTGCCCTTTGTCGACCATGTTCGGGAATTGTTTAATACGTTTATGGAAATTATACATAATTATTACACTCTTGCTTTTCCGGAACGACGAATTTCTGTCAATCATTTAAAAACTGATGTAAAATGGTTTAGCGAAGATCTCAAAAAAATGAGAGATAATTTAAGTTTTCTTGACGATTTATACAAATGCAATCCATGTGACGAACTTAAAAAAGCCAGAAATGCCTACAGGGCTTTATATCGTAATACTATAAAAAATGCCAAAGTGACTGCTAATAACTTAGTCATTAATTCCGCTGCGAACAAACAAAAAGCCATGTGGAAAATCATAAATTCTAAACGCAAAAATGTCTTAGTCCACGATACATCAAAAAGCGGCATTTCTGTACAAAACTTTAATTCGTATTTCACGAGCATTGCCTCTGATATAGTAAAAAATTTACCTAGTCCTAAGCTTGATCCTGTTGTCTCTCTTTGTGTTAATAACTATGATATTTTGTGTCATAACTATTTTATTTTTAAGGAAGTATCTGTTGGCTTTGTACACGGTGTCATTGCAAGTTTAAAAACGAGTCGAGCTAGGGATATATTCGGTTTAAATGTGGAAGTACTAAAAAGTATTAAGGATATAATTGCTAGTCCATTGACCAAACTGATCAATGCATGTATAAGAGAGGCTGTTTTCCCAGATTGTCTCAAGAAGGCGGTGGTAGTGCCCTTACTTAAAAAAGATGATCCCCAAGATATAAATAACTATCGGCCTATTTCACTGCTTCCCGTTTTCTCAAAGGTTCTTGAAAAAGTCCTTGCAATTCAATTGGGCAGTTATTTTGAAGACAATAACATTTTCTCTGCTCATCAGTTCGGGTTTAGAAAAGGTAGATCCCCTGTGGACGCACTGCTTTCTCTCACTGACAAGGTATGCAATGCTTTTGACTCAAAGGAAACACTTCTAGTAGAATATTTGGACCTATCAAAGGCTTTCGATTGTATGTGTCATACTACCCTTATTCGTAAGCTTTATGCATACAATTTACATCCCCTGAGCTGCAGACTACTAACTTCCTTTCTGAGCAGTCGTATGCAGAGGGTAAGTTTTGAGGGGAAACAATCTGAAGATATCCCTATCAAGTTAGGCATCCCTCAAGGATCTATACTCGGGCCGCTGTTATTCATTATTTTCACAAATGATTTCGCATCGCATTTGAAAGAAGGTGGCACTATTTTATATGCTGATGACACTACTCTGACCAGTAGTGGAAAGTGTTTACAAAAAGCAGCAGAGAGCGCTGAAACATCGCGATTAATAGCTTCCGATTGGTTTAACAGCAACAACTTAGTAATTAATAAAAAGAAGTGTGTCAACATGCATTTTACTCTAAAGCTCATGGACACTGCAAATTTAGATTCTTCCACATCCCCGACATTTGAACATTCTGTCAATTTCTTGGGTCTAACGTTCGATTCCAAATTACGATGGGATCTTCACGGGGATTGCGTAAACAAAAAAATTAATAAAAATATATATCTGCTACGCAACCTAGCATCTAATGTATCGCAAGTAACCCTAAAAGCTTGTTATTTCGGCATAATTCACAATATTCTTAATTATGGCCTACTTATCTGGGGCCATTCTTCTTCCAGGCACCGCTTGTTTGCAGCGCAAAGAAGGGCCATTAGAATCCTTGCAAACTTACATTACAGGGCCGACTGCCGAGCAGCTTTCAAAGAATTGGGAATTCTTACGTTTCCTTGTATGTTCATTTTGCAATGTTGCTTATATGTAAAATCGAATATATCTAGATTTCACACTCATGCAAGCATCCACCCGTACTCTACTCGTCGTAGACACAATTTAAATCAAGAATATGTACGCCTAGATAAAACTGCTACTGGCCACAGATATTATGCTTCCAAATTTTTTAATGCACTGCCAACAGTAATGAGAAATTTAAATATACATGTATTTAAAGATACTTTAAAACGTTTGTTGATTAAAAATGCGTTTTATTCGTATGAAGAATATTTGTCTTTCAAATTCAATTGATGTTCATTGTGTGTGTACTTGTAATATTATATGTGAATATGTATTTTTTTTTTGACCTGTGCAAAACAATTTGTTGTAGCATTAATAAACTTTACTTTACTTTACTTACTTTAATTACCGAAAGCTTTTTTGTAGTTTTCGACTTCCAGAAATTAGTTTCGACCAGATTTCAACGAAATCCACAAACGAAATATTGAAAATTTTCAAATATTTGGAAAAATTTACTTTCAAATTGAATATTTTCAAAATCTTGATCCACTTCAAGATCTACATCCCATAATTTTTTATGCATTTTTAAACCAGTTTTCAAAAGCGCTGTTTTTCAATAAGTTTTGAAAATTCCGCGCTTTTTTCGACTACCTTCAAAAATTACCTAAAGAAATTTTTTTGTAGATTTCGACCAACAAAATTTCGAAATTTTTCTTTTTTTTTTTAAAGTGGACTTTTAAACGGAATATCTATAAAATCTTGCTCCGGGACTATAAATACGTCATATTTTTGGAAGCGGTACGTCGACATCTACTTTCGAGATTTTTTATCATTCATTTTTTCAAAAGAGCAATTTTTGATTACTCTCCCTTATGAAAAGTTTGACCTTTTATAAAAAATCTTCGAAAATTAGTTAAAGAGATTTTTTTGTAAAGTTCGACGTCGAGAAAATACTTTCGGAATCTCTCCAGAATCGGCGAACAAGATATTAATTTTTTTTTCGAATTTTACTAAATTTTACTAAATTTTTGAGTTCCAAACGGAATATTTCTAAAACCTTGGTTGGGGACCCTAAACACACCTATATTTTTCGAACCAGCACATCATTCTACATTTCTAAATTTTTTATGCATTTTTAGACAACTTTTTCAAAAGCTTATAAGAATTTCGACGTTTTTTCTAAAATCTTCAAAAATCATTTAAAGAACTTTTTTTTATAGATTTCGAGTTCCAAAAATTACTTTCGGCCTTCTTTTTCTCCGAAAACTCTCACTTTCTCTCCAGAATTTCCAAACGAAGTTAGAAATTTTTCGAATTTAAAGAAAAATGTGATTTCAAAAGAAATATTTTTAAAATTAATTCCAAACCGAATATTATAAATATTCAAATATTCAAACTACAATTTTTTTAAAAAATTTTGCATTCCAGTTTTTCCGTATTTCCACTTAATTAGTCCACGTCAAAATGCTGACATCAGTAATTTATTATCATTACTATTACTATTATCATTAATAATCACGTTGTGTTTGCTACGCAAACACTACTATAAAGATTATTATTTACTTTTCATTATTTCTAAATTCCTCAGTAGTCTTCTCAAACAATAAAAATTGGACAATGCGTAGTACCTTCCTAATTTCGGGAACGACAACAAAGAGTCCAGCGGTTATAAACCCCAAAAACAAACACAATTAAGCTTCATTCTTTTATTACAAATTTATAAAAGAAATCTTATCACTCTTATCTTAAACCCCGGTCTTAAGTTTAATCCAGTTCCTGTAGTAGTCCGTCCTGGCAAAGGCAACTGGATTACCACTTTCACAACCATCGGGGTGTCCAAAACTGACAACACCGACATGGAGGGGCCCACTGGAAGTGTAGGTAACAAACGGACCACCACTATCTCCCTAAACCAGAATTAGAACATTAGGAAACATTTTTTTAATTAATTAGTGTGTTTACTAACCTCGCAGGTGCTCTGAACTATAGAAGTAGTTCTTTGGGCACAAACTGCTCCGGTGGGTAGTTCACCATACACTCGATTACAGTTACTGTTTGAAATTGTAGTCAGACTTATGTAGTTCAAAGTAGTGGAGGGTTCGCTTGCACCTAAAACCACACAAATACTTAGTGAAGTAGTTCTAATTAAAACAGAAAAGTCGTACTGTCGCTAGTCAGTCCCCATCCACTCACTGTAGCGGTGGTACCATCGGATAAAGTACCAGAAGAGAGAGCAACTGGTTGGATCTTGTCTATAAACAAATACAAAAATCACCACTTTGTTTAAAAAAAAAATGTTTCAAAGTTACCATTAAAAGTCACAGCGTAGGGTAACATAACCAAGGCGATGTCATTATCCAAGGTATTGGAGTTGTAGTTCTCGTGTAGAATATACTGAACTGTGTCTATAACTACCCGATCTGGGTCCACCCCGACTAGAGAGTTTGAACCCAAAGCAATTTTAAAATGGGTGGCGTAGTGGACACAGTGACCTGCCGTCAAAATCCACCGACTGCTGATCAAAGCTCCTCCACACCAGGTGGTTTCACCAGGTCTGGTGATGTACAGGGCTGCCTGCCAAGGAAATTGGCCACTACGGGCTTCGTCTCCATTAATAATACGTGGTTCAGGTTTTTTCAGAGGTTTCAGTACTGGGTTCTGAAAAATACAAATACATTGTCATTGTACACGACTTTCTATGTCTAGGTGGTACTTACCGCAAGTGTAGAGGCGTTTGCGAAAATTACAAAAATTACAAAAACTCGTAGAGAGAATTCCATGTTTAGTTACGATGAAAATCGATGATTGTCTTTTATAGGTGATGACTGTACTCTAGATTCTACGTGATAAGATTAGTGGTTGGGTTCCTGTTACTTAAGTACTGTTGCAGTACTCAATTTTAATAATGAGAGATAAGGATTTCTTATGAAACTGTACGTCCGTTATTTTTTTGCATGTTTATTGACTCTGTATGGTTAATTCTTTCTTAGAATGAAGCCACGGTTATCGTCATTGGGAGATTTGATTAAGACTTATGATAAGAAAATTACATAAAAAGTTTCCAATAACAAAAGAAGATTGTCAGACGACTTGTGTTTGGTTTGGCTATCAAGATCTGACGACTACAGAAAAACGTGCTTTGTTTATGTGTTTAACATGTTGCTGAAAACTTTATTATTTTGTTAATTAATCTTTCAAAATATTTCTGCAAAATTTTACTGTTGTTGCAATTTGTGGAAATTGAGACGACTTATTTTTAAGGAAATGACTAAACCTATTATCTGGATCAATTAATTGCGGTAGTAGAGATAGATAGATTTTACTTTGTTTGTTTTAGGTTATCTTTATTATGCGTGACTTTGAACTACACAATTGTCGAAGTTCTATAGATAAACGCTTAATTCATCATTTTATACGGGTAATTACCTTTACAAATAAGTGGAAACTATAGTTAAATCTTTTAGATTAACAACTTCAAAACTGCTTGTCATTGACTACGAATAAGGATCTATGGATTAAAATAAAAAATTCAGGATTTTGTTACAGCATAATCATAAATCTTACTTTTGAAGATTTTTTAACTAAATACTTGAACCTCGTTTAGTCTTGGTTGGCGTTTGTTTTAAGGGTTACCAAATACAATATTTTTATAAGTACCATACATACTCCGCCACTGTCTATGATTCGAACTTATTGTGTTACGGAAACATACTTGTTTATTTTTAGTCTTTCTTTGAGAAACATCAATATTTTCAGTTTTCGTGTTTTCCCTTTTCTGATTTTTAACTTTTCGATTTTTCAACATGTCGTTTCTTCAATGTTGCAATTAGCAAATTTTTAGTTTCCCATTTTTTGACTTTTCAATTTTTTACAGTTCTCAATTATTCTATTTTTCAGTTTTCGATTTTTAATATATTTGGATTTTAGTTCCTCAATTTTTAGTCTTCGATTTTCATTTTCCAAGTTTTGGTTTTTTATAATTTTTAAGTATTTTAATTTTTGATTTTCTTGTATTTTCTCACTTTTAGTTTTTTGATTTTACAATTATTCATTTCTTCAGTTATCTGAGTTTTTAACTTTCCAATTCCTAGTTTTGAAATTTTTCAGTTTTTCGATTATTCCATTTTTTAATTTTTTAGTTTTTCGAATTTTATTTTTGCATTTTTTTAATTAGTAGATATTTCTAAAAAAATAATTTTTGTTCCTGGATCATCAATTTTTCGATTTTTCAACTTTACAATTTTATATTAAAATGTTTCGTTTTATCAATTTTACGATTTTTCGTTTTCCGATTTTTAATTTTTCGGTTTTTCCATTTTTCTTTCCTTGAGATTTTCGGTTTTTTGGTTATTTTATATTCCCTCTTGCAATTTTTCAATTTTTCAATTATTCCATTTTAAGTTTTCAATTTCTCATTTTTTAATTTTGCGAACTTTTTCGATTCCTGGATTTTTTATTTTTGAATTTCTCGATTTTTCAATTATTCTATTTTTTGATTTCTTAGTTTTTCGTATCTTATTTTGCAATTTTTATAAGGTTTAGACATTTGTAAAAAACTAATGTTTGTTCATTAATTTTTCGATTTTCAGTTGCTGGATCATTAATTTTTCGATTTTACAATTTTTCAATCCTCAAATATTTAGATATTTTAATGTTTCGTTTTCCGATTTTAATTTTTCAGTTTTTCAATTAATAGGTCTTTCGATTTTTCTATTTTTCTATTTCTTAAATTTTGCAATTTTTCAATTTTTCAATTCCTCGATTTTAATTTTTCAATGTCTCGGTTTTAAATTTTGCTATTTTCTAATTTTTCATTTCTTTAATTTTAGGTATTTTAATTGTTCCTTTCTGCAATTTTTCAATTCGTCAATTAATACATTTTTCGGGTTTTCAATTTTTCTAATTCTTAATTTTTACAATTTTAGCATCTTTCGATTTTTCAATTCCTGCATTTTTTATTTGTATATTTTTCGTTCTTAAATTTTTTGAATTTTAGATTACTTAAAGTTATTTTCATAAATTTTTCAACTTTCACTTCTCGACTTTTCAAATTTACAATTTTATAATTTTTCGATTTTACAATTTTTCAATCTTCCAATTTTTAAATTTTGCTGTTTTAAAGTTTTTCGATTTTTAACTTGTCGATTTTTCAACTCCTCAAATTTTTTAGTTTTGCAGTTTTCAAGTTTTAAATTCTTGGATTTTAATTTTTCAATTGTTTGGTATTAAAGTTTTCGATTTCCCAATTTATCATTACTTCAATTTTTTGATTTTTAAAAGTAACAATTTTGTAATTTTTCAATTTTTCAATTAGTAAAGTTTTCAGTTTTTCAGTTTTTCTATTTCTTAAATTTTAAAATTTAGCAAATTTTCAATTTTTCAATTCCTGAATTTTCATTTTTCAATATCTCGGTTGTAAATTTTTCGATTTTACAATTTACAATTTTTTATTTTTTCATTTTTTCAAATGTTATTATTGTTTCCCTATTGAAATTTTTTATTTCTTCAATTAGTAAATTTTTCAGTTTTTGAATTTTTCTAGTTCTTAGTTTTTGCAATTTTGCAGTCTTTCGATTTTTCAATTCTGGATTTTTCGATTTTCAGTTCCTGGGTCATTAATTTTTTAACTTTACAATTTTATAATTTTTCGATTTTACAATTTTTCAATTCTCCAATATTTAGATATTTTAATGTTTCGTTTTATCAATTTTACGTTTTTTCGTTTTCCGATTTTTCATTTTATATATAATATTTCTTTTCTTGAGTTTTTCGATTTTTAGACATTTTAGTTTTATTTCTTGCAATTTTTCAATCCTTCGATTTTAATTTTTCAATTTCTCGGTTTTAAATTTTTTGATTTCCCAATTTTTCATTTCTTTTGAATTTTTCAGATTTTAGATACCTTAATTTTTTCTTTTGTGCAATTTTTCAGTTTTTGAATTTAGATCTTTCAGTTTTTCAAATTTTCTAATTCTTAAATTTTAAAATTTAGCAATTTTTTAATTTCTCAATATTTCGGTTTTAAATTTTTCGATTTTCCAATTTTTCATTTCTTTAATTTTAGGTATCCTGATTTTTTTTCGGTTTTCCAATTTTTCTATTTCTTAATTTTTACAATCTTGCAATCTTTCGATTTTTCAATTCCTGGATTATTTAGTTTTTCGTATCTTATTTTGCAATTTTTTATAATGTTTAGGTATTTGTAAAAAAATAATTTTTGTTCATTACTTTTTCGATTTTCCTGGATCATTAATTTTGCGATTTTTCAACTTTAAAGTTTTATATTTTTTCGATATTATAATTTTTCAATTCTCCAATATTTTAATATTTTAATATTTCGTTTTATCAAATTTACGATTTTTCGTTTTCCGATTTTTAATTTTATGGTTTTTCAATTTTTCTTTTCTTGAGTTTCTCGATGTTTAGGTATTTAAGTTTTCCTTCTTGCAATTTTTCATTTCTTTTGAATTTTTCAAATTTTAGATATCTAAATTTTTCCTTTTGTGCAATTTTTCAATTTTTTAGTCAACACATCTTTCGGTTTTTCAATTTTTCTATTTCTTAATTTTTTCGATTTTGCAATTTTTAATTTTTTTAATTTTAGGTATCTTAATTTTTTCTTTTTGCAATTTTTCAATTCGTTAATTAGTAAATTTTTCGGTTTTTCAATTTTTTCATCTCCTAATTTTTAAAATTTTACAACGTTTCGATTTTTCCATCAGTTCGTTATTAACTTTTGAATTCCTATATATTAAATTTTTTGCTTTTTCAATTATTCCATTTTTTGATTTTTTAGTTTGTATGTCTTATTTTGCAATTTTTTATCATTTTTAGATCACTTAAAGCTTTTTTCATAAAATTTTCGACTTTCACTTCTCAACTTTCCAAATTTACAATTTTATAATTTTTCAATTTTCCAATTTATCATTTCTTCAATTTTTCGATTTTTACAAGCAAATTTTTTTTAATTTTTCTAGTTCTTAATTTTTACAATTTTGAAATTTTTCAATTCCTGGATTATTTACTTTTGAATTTCTCGATATTAGTTTTTTTTTCAACTATTCCATTTTTTGACTTTTGTTAGTTTTTCGTATCTTATTTTGCAATTTTTTGTAATTTTTAGATTTGTTAACGCTTGTTCATTAATTTTTCGACTTTCATTTCTTCAATTTTTAATTTTTCGATTTTTCAGTTTTTCATTTCTTCAATTCTTCACTATAGAATTTTTCTTATTTTCAATTTTCATTATTTTACTTTAAAATTATTCAATTCTTCAATTGATAGATTTTGTATTTTTCGTTTGTTCGACATTTAACTTCAGTTTTTGGTGTTTTACCGTTACAATTCCACGACTTAATATTTTTTTAATGTTGTGATTTTTTAATTTTTGAATTTATCGATATTTGTTCAGTTGTGAGATTGTTGTGTTTCGAAATTATAATTCTTCATTTTTCAATTTTCCATTTTTCGCTTTTTACATATTTTGTAATTTTTTATTTTTATAACTTTTAGATATAAGTATATTTACTTATGTTTATTTTTCGATTTCTAGTGTCTCAATTTTCAAATTTTGGATTTTTCATTTCTACAAATCTTGGATTTTTCAATTTTTAGATATTTTAATTTGTCGTTTTTTGTTCAGTTTAAAATTTTGTAATATATTTTTCCAGTTTTCGATTTTTAGTTTTTTCAATTTTTCTTTCAAATGTGAGATTTCCCATTACCGAAATTAAATCAGTACTTTGTATATTATTGTTTCTATATAGAAACGTTTAATCAATATCTTTTTTCAACACTACCGGTTATGGATGCATTATGGACAGCCTAGATATTAAACGACATGACACTTTTTAATTATGGGAAGAGCGAATATTTGCCTACAAATATAAGAATAACAACAAAAATAAAAATACAATTTTTGTAAACTCCGTCAATATTTATTTATTTATTGATAATTTCACTTTGCCTGTATATTTTTATTGATCCAGTCAACATAAGGAGCCGTCTTAGTATAAAAATCAGGATTATCTTTCCCACAACCTTCGATAATAAACGACGCAATCCCAGCCAACTTCCCCTCACAAACCAAAGGCCCTCCCGAATCTCCAATACACAACCCTTTACCCTCCACCGAAAAAGCACAAGTCTGTCCCTCCGCCAAATCACCCCCTACAAAACTCTTACAAGTCTCAAAACTGAAAACGGTCTGCTCAACAAACTGCAGCTCTTCTGGAAATTCAACAGTGTCCGTCTCTCCCCAACCGGCAACACTACAAGTTGCGTTCACTGCCGGATCAACAAACTCCGTCGGTTGAGTGACATCGTCGAATTCGAACTCGTCTTCGATTTGGATTAAGCCGATATCGTTTATCAGTGCTGTGGGATCATAGTCCTCGTGGTTAATCCACTTGGCTACTTTATGGGTGGTACCACCGGAGTTGGCCAAGTTAGTACCTGCTATGATGGTCGTGGTGGATGTTACGACATCGACGCAATGGGCGGCTGTGACAACCCAGTTTTTGCTGACGATGGACCCATCACAGAATTGGACTGGGTCGTTGATGGACACTATGGAGGGGAATTGGCCAGGGGCGGCTGCATCACCGCCGTAAATGCGGCCCTTACGGGGTGCCCCTAGAAACGAGAGACGCTCTAATATTCAAAATATATAGTCAATAGGGTGTAGTTATTACCTAAGGTGGCACTGATTGTTATAGCTACTAGTATGAGACAATGGTGTTTCATTTTTGACTAGTACTTTATAGAGTTCTTTGTCCGATATATAGTACTAGTGGAATTTTTATCAGTCACGTGTTGTCCAAAAGTGATACATTGGACACCTAGAAGTGGCTTTTGTCATTGATAAGTGTAGGTGGTACTTAATAAAAAGTGAATATCGTATGTCGGATGTTTCGTATTTGAGTGTTAAATTTATTGCATTGTATAAATTTCACGTTCTTAAGTGGTAGCAATGTCTAGAAAATATTATTTGAAATTAAATATTTATAAATTGTTATCCACGCCACTGGTGGTGTTTCTTGACCTACCATAACGACTAGGATTAAGAACCAAAAAAGCGGTGCACTGGTAAGCAACGTGCAAAAAGACGATAAGGGCCAGTCATATAATTATTATTTGGTTGTTGTCGTGTTTTCGGTTAACGTCTTTGACAATGGTGATTTTTTCTAATCAGAGCGTGTCGACATGGTAATGCTTTACAGTGTGTCTGATTAAAAGGCCAGGTTGACCGGCATCTCCGAGATCATGGTACCTTCAACTCTCAAACTCACGATCGTGGCCATGATAGGACCGAAAGAATACTGCAATCTGAAGAACAAATTTTGGAACGCGTCGAAGAAGAGCCCGACATCAGTACTCGCAGACTTGCAACTGAAGTTGCAGTTTCACAGATTGCAGTACATCGTACATTAAAAGAACAAGGCCCAGATCCATACCACGTTCAAAAAGTGCAAGCTTTGGACCCAGCTGATTTTCCACGTCGTGTAGTTTAGCGCCAATGAAGAAGGGGTGGGTGGGCGGGGCTATTGCTTACTTATAAAAGAAAGACTCTCCAGGAAAAAGTTAAACCCCCGCCCACCCACCCGTTCTCTCATTTTTTCTACTGAAATAAGAAATAAATCTTATAGCAAATAGTATAACAACAAAATTACGATTAACGCTTTTCCTTAACAGCTTACGTTCTAGTAGTTCCATTCGCACTTTACAAAAGACCGCAGATGTTCGCTGACCGTCATAGAGTTCGGACGCTTGTCGGAACATCAAAGGCTTTACCTACTTCCGGCTAGCCGTTTGTGTTTAGCCGCGATGTCGGACGAGGAGGATGCTAGTAGCGATCCTCAAAAGTATACAAATTGCAAACTGTGCAAAAGTTATGTAGACAAAAGTGTAAGCAGAGTAAAGTGTAGTTTGTGCAACATTGTGATTCATACAAAGTGTTTTGATTCTCTATCAAAGATTGTGGCAATTGACAAAGAAAACTGGCATTGCAAAACATGTGAATCCAGCCTTGATGCTTCAAAAAAGTCTCCAACAACGTTAGTTCGAGAAATTGTATTTTTTCAAAAGCAAGTGTCCTTATTGGAAAAACTAGTAAATGAGCTAGAAACAGTCAACAAATTGCAAAAGGAAAAACTTGAAACTCAAACATCTGCACCGATACAACAACCGTCATACGCTGATTGCCTAAAAACAGTGAGTAAGAAATCAGTCGATGTTTTTATTAAGCATCAAGGTCCTGAAAAAGTAAAATTTGACAAAGTGTTAGAAAAAATTCGCAAAGATGTAAACCCTGTTGAACTGAATGTTCAAATTAACTCCACAAAAATATTAAACAGAGGTGTAGTTGTTAAATGTGCCAATGATTCTTCCTGCGATAAGCTCATAACCAAGTTAAAATCCTCGCTTGGTTCTGACTATAGTGTCGAAAAATCCCAAAAGTAGAACCCTCGTCTTTATGTTAGAGGTGCTGGCAAGAATGTTTCTACTATGGAAGACAAAGATCTAATTGACAACATCTTAATATTAAATGGTTTTGACATCGAAATGTATGCGAATCAAATCAAAGTTGTAAAAAGATTTGATTATAAGTATAATTGTAATTTCATTATTGAAGTAACTAGTGCCTTACGCAGAGAAATACTAAGTAATTGTAATTGTAGAATATATGTTGATTGGAGCTTGTGTTCATGTTCAGACCATCTGATTGTTAGACGTTGTTTTAAATGCTCCAAATTTGGTCATCTCAGCTCCAAATGTACAAGTAATACGCAAATATGTCACAAGTGCTCTGACAATCACTTTTCCAAAGATTGCAATTCTGACCACCTCAAATGCATAAATTGTATTGAATACGCGGAGCGTAATAAGTCATCAAATATCGATATCAACCACTATGCTGGAGATGAGCAGAAGTGCATTGTTTATAGGAATAGGCTAAAAGACTTACGCGACCGAATTGATTATGGTTCATAGTTCAGATCTTATTAACGATATGGGTTCAACAAAAAAAATAAATTTAAATTGTCTTAAAATTGCACATGTAAATGTAAGATCGCTTTTTACGGGGTTTGTTGAATTTACAAGCTTAATCACTTTCAATAATTTTGATTTGGTAGCTGTTACTGAGACTTGGTTGTCTGAGGATATCCCTTCTGCTGTGGTTGGTATTGATGGTTACAAATTATATAGAGCTGATCGGTCTAGAACGGGAGGCGGTGTTGGCATCTATATGAAGAATTGTTTGAATAGCGATGTAGTCCTTCATGACTACTGTGGTGTTGCTGGTATCGAATTTTTGTGTATCAGACTTCAACTAAATAAACATTCGCTGCTCATTTGTGTATTCTATAAATATGCTTCTTCTTTAAACGATGCCACCGAATTCTTTGACAACTTTTTATCTTTTGTTACTCCACAGTACGATAATATATTAATAACTGGCGACCTGAATGAAGATTTTCATTTCAATAATAAGCTAAATGATTGTTTTGTTGCCTATGGTTTTCAACAAATCATCTCTGAAAGTACCAGAGTTACGCGAAATTCTGAGACGTTGATCGATCCTATTTTAATCAATAATAATGCATTATTTCGTAGAAGTAGAGTTATAAATGCTGATCTAATATCTGATCATCGTCTAGCCTTTTGCATATTAGACATAAATATTCCTAAAATGACTCCTAAATATACTACATACAGAGACTTTAAAAACTTCTTGCATGATAAATTTATGTTAGACTTAAATAAAAAATCTTTGGATAACATTTATTACATCCTCAATATTGAAGATAAAATCAGGTACCTTAACACAACTGTGTTAGAATTATTTGACTATCACGCTCCGTTCAAAACCTCGTTCATTTCAAAGCCCTATGCACCTTGGCTCACCCCTTCTATTAAAGAATTGATGAAACAAAGAAATCGAGCATTAAGTTTATATAAGCAAACTAAATCTGCTCAGCTCTGGCTATTTTATAAGCAGCTAAGAAATTCTACGGTTGCTGCACTGAAACGGGAAAAAAAGCGTACTTAGATTATGAAAGTAATACTTCAAACAAAAAAAGACTATGGGTTGCACTAAAAAAGTTAAATATTCAAAAAAAAGTTAAAGGATGTGATCTATCTACATTCAGTGCTGATGAAATAAATGAATATTTTTTGTCAGTATTCACTCCTCCCCAAAACTGTGTTGAAGCTGTTAATAACATAAAAGGTATCAAATATAAACCAAATAGTAACTTTAAATTTTCATTGGCCACTGAGGAGGAAGTGTTTCAAATCATAAATAGCTTGAAATCTAATGCTATGGGTATTGATGGTATCTCTGCTTACATGATTAAATTATGTTGCCCTAATATAGTTCAGCCAATTACTCACATTATTAATTGCTGTCTGGAGACTGGATACTTTCCAGAATTATGGAAAGTGGCTTTAATTCATCCTATTCCCAAAATCGACGAGGTAAACTCTCCAGAAGACCTAAGACCAATAACACTATGCAACACTAAAAAAATCACAGAAAGTTCAGATAGTGTTTGAGGTTGGGTATACTCCATATACTAAAGAAAAAAATGTTTTATAGTCATATCACATCACAAAACATAGATAACGGGTGTTTTGTTTTTCTTACTTAATGGGACACTTGATTGCATTTAATCGTAAAAATATCGCTTTTATGTATCCACCCATGCTTGCAGACTTCTGTTGGTGTCTTCAGAGGGATACTGCGAGATCTGGCTACAATAGGAATGCCAATCGTTCGAAAAAAAGACCTTTTTCAATGAAAAATGAAGTATTGCTTTATTAATTTTGTATGATTTCAAAAAATTCAATAAGCACTTTTCATTTTGAAACCTGATATGATAGGTTGGGTAGCTATACTCCATATACTAAAGAAAAAAATGTTTTATCCTCATATCACATCACAAAATATAGATAACGGGTGTTTTGTTTTTCTTACTTTTTGGGACACTTGATTGCATTTAATCGTAAAAATATCGCTTTTATGTATCCACCCATGCTTGCAGACTTCTGTTGGTGTCTTCAGAGGGATACTGCGAGATCTGGCTACAATAGGAATGTCAATCTTTCAAAAAAAAAGACCTTTTTCAATGAAAAATAAAGTTTTGTTTTATTAATTTTGTATGATTTCAAAAAATTCAATAAACGCTTTTCATTTTGAAACCTGATGTGATACGATTCTTTCAAGTATAATCCTCAATTGAGTTTGAGGTAAGAAATTTTAACTACATACTGTGCATTCTGTGAATTTTATTTTTTTTTAATTTGTTGCATAGTGTAAGTATTCTTCCAACATTATCTAAAGTCTTAGAAAAATGTATCTATAATCAAATCTTTAATTTTATAGTAAAAGAAGAGATATTATCTGAAGATCAATCTGGGTTTCGCAAGGGATATAGCACAACGACAGCTCTAGCTTCTGTTATCGATGATTGCCTGATTGAACTTGACAAAAACCACGCAAGTATTGTAACTCTTTTGGATTATTCAAAAGCTTTTGATACTTTGGACCACCAACTCCTCTGCACAAAACTGGAATATTACGGGTTCGATCAAATTTCTGTTTCTTTTTTTAAATCATATTTACAAAATCGACATCAACAAGTTGTAACCGAGTCTGGTAAATCTAAAATTGGCTTAATAACATCAGGCGTACCGCAAGGCTCGGTCTTAGGCCCAATTCTTTTTACTATATATACTTCCCA